CACCAAAGGGTTGCAGAGGAAAACAACCCTTTTTGAGGTCCCCAAGGCACCAAGGGGCTGGGGACAATGAGGGGGGCTCTCCCCTTGGCATTGGGAAGCATCGTCCCAGCAGTGACCCAGGGTGGATGAGGAGTTGTCTCTGGGCACTGCTGGTGGTTCTGGGCGCTGTGCATGGCCCCAGTGGCTCTGGAAGTGGTGGGGAACCTCTCTGCCAGCACCCATTGCTGGGCTTTCTCTGGGCACCCAGTGCCTGGGATGGTGCCAGAGGCATTTAGGGGACAGGGCTGGCTTGTTGCAGGGGACTGTTCCAGCAGTGGGGTCAGGGTTCCCCCCACCCTGAAAGTGGATGTTGATGCGATGATGATGGAGGTCACCGATGCTGCAGGGATGGGATGCTGCCGGGTTTTTAGGCAAATCAGTGACCAGGTGGATGCGCTCAAGTCATCCTCATAGTGGGGCACAGCACTTCCGCAGGGCTACCAGGACAAGGGGGTGTTAATGGTCCTGCATTCCCAACCCCATAGGACAGCAAGAAGAGGGAAAATCCTACTGCTGCTTCAAAACGCCGCTGCCCTTGTCCATGGGATGGGTTTCCCATAGCAGGCACTGTCAGTGAGGAGTGTCAGGGTGCACGGGCAGGGATGCTCCCCTGACTGAGGGTTTTCTTTACTGTGAGGGTGCCAGAGCATTGGAACGGGCTGCCCAGAGAGGTTGTGGAGTCTCCTTCTCTGGAGATGATCAAAACCTGTCTGGGTGCAGTCCTGTGCAACTTGCTGTAGGTGAACCTGCTTTGGCAGGGGCGTTGGACTAGATGATCAGAGGTGAGGTCCCTTCCAACCCCGACCATTCTGTGAAGGACAAGAGTGCAGCATGATACCATCTCCAGGGTGTTAGAGCCAGTCAGCGTGAGGCATCACCCATTGCAGAGAGCCTTTTTGCAGGTGGGCAGAGCTGCTAAGTGCTCTTGGGTAATTTACCACATCTCCTTTGCAGCCGTGCTGCCCCAGACCATGCTGGGGAGAGGCTGGGAGGCACCCCAGTTTTCTGTGCTCAGTGGGGAGCATCCTGTATCTCCCCACTGCCTTCTTCAGCCCTGTGGCATGGCATCATCTGCTGGTGTCCCAACCATCACCCACACCCCGGCTCTGCGTGCGGCTCATTCTCTTTGAAGAGCAACTTCAAATGAAGCAAAGAAAAAAGAAAAAAAAAAAAAAAAGAAAACAAAACCCACTGTCTTTCAAAGCACCAAACGCAATGGAAAGTTGGCTTCCCCCAGGAATCTGCGCTGGGCTTTGCCAGACCATGGCAGGCAACTGCCCGGGGGACTGTCACACCCCACTGTGTGTGCTGGTGTGGCATTGGTGCTGGTGCACGTGACTGTGATTTTGGGGTTGTTTTGGCTCACAGCATTTCAGTTTGGATGCAGGATTTCAGTTTTTGATCCAGGAAGGGGATCACAGCAGGATTTTTCCCTGCAGCTCCCCCAAAAATCTTTTAGATGAGCTCAAATTGCATGGACAGCGGGGTTGGTGAAGGATAGAGAGTGGCACCTTATGTTTCTGGCTGACATCCACAGGTGCCATGCACAGCCTGGTCACACTGGCTGTGCCGGTGATGGGAGCATCCCGTGCTGTCTGGCATCGCTGCCTTCCCTGCCGGGGCCAAGCCACGGCCACAGGGTCTCTCTGCCCTGGCCATGGCCCTCTCGGGCTGGAATTAACATGCAGGCAGGAAGAAAAGCTCTGATTGTTCCCTCTGTCCCTGCTCAGCTCCAAGACCACTGTTCCAGGACTCCCCGTCCCTGGGATATGTCACCACTGGTGCAGGCATAGAGGAATGCTTTCTCCGCCTGTGTGCCCGTCTGTGGGGTGCAGAGGCGCTGAGGAAGATGGCCTGGCAATGCACATGCATGTGCCTTCCTTTACATGCCTGTTTTCCCCTCGATGAGGCAGTTTGGTTGCAGAAAGTAAAGGGATCCTTTCTGGGCAGGCTGTTTTTCAGCTCTGCCTGTCCCAGAGCTCCTGGCCCCCTGCCACCCCGCCACAGCCGGGGCGGGCAAGGGCTCCGGGTCTTCCCCAGCTCTGCGGCTCCTTCCCCTTTGTTTGTGGCCTTTGGGCGGGCGAGGAAGGGCTTGCCCTGTTTCTTCTCTCTGTGGTGATGCTTGGCTCTGGCTGGGCTTTGGCAGTGCTCAGGCGGGTCATTTCCTAAGCCAAAGCATGTGGCTGAGGGAGTTGGGTGCTTCCTTCCCCCACGCTGCACTGGCAGGGGTGGTCAGCTGCCCAAAAGAGCCCATCTGAGGCTCATGGGGTGTTGGGGTGGGGGTGGGAGGCCCTGGGACAGAGGGTGCGGGAGCGTGGGAGGAAGCGGGGTGCCCCTCAGGGTGAGTGGTGGTGACCACTGAGGGGTCACCATGGAGATCAGGGGTTGGGGTGCAGATGAGGATGGGGTCTGCAGAGTTGCCCTCTGCCACCATGCAGGGGTCTGGGGTGTCTCTGGGTCTGTTGGCAATACCACCCACAGCCAGGCTGGCCAGGCAGGGCTTGTGCTGTTCCCCAGGGATGTTAGCAGTGGCTGGCTGCAAATCATGCCATGCCCCAGCCTTTTCCCTTGTCCATGTTGGGAAAGGTACCTTTCAGCATTGTGGCTCTAGGGTCATTTTTTCCAGGCTTGTCTTGAAGTGCTTAGTGGCCCTGAGACCTGGCAAACTCATGCCAGCAGTGAGCCAGCACCCAGAGCATGTTCCCCTTCCACAGAGGAGCATGGTAGGTGATGGGTACAGCAGCTCTGCCTTCACCCTCCACAGTGTTTGCATGAAAATCCAGGGTGGTTGGAAGAAGAAATGTAGTTTTTTAAAAACTATTTCTCTCTCCACACTAACACATTCTCCCTGACCCTCCCCCAGCACCATCCCCTTAACTCTGGCCCACGTGGTGTTTGGAATTATTTTTGGTTGCTGCTTTTGTGTATTTTAAGTTCTTTTTTTTTTTTTTCCATCACCAAAATATTTTACTTTCAGGCTGAATGTTCCCAGTTAGTTACCAGCATAGTTTTGGCAGAGACCTTTTAATGATGTTTCTTGGGAAGATTTCTACAAGTGGTTTGGTAGGAAAAGCTTATGACAGTCTCAGGAAATTATTTACATTTGAGGCTTGTTTTTGAGGCTGCTGGTGTGTTCAGGACGGGGCTAATGTGGGGTGCATGCCTTCCCCCCTGCACTTGGTGGGTTGCAGTGCATCACCCTGTAGCTCTCCTTTTTTTTGCCATACAATTTTGTCTCTGGCTGTGGATAAGACAGGAGGAAATGGCCTCAAGCTGCATGAAGGGAAATTTAGATTGGATATGAGGAAGAATTTCTTTGCTGAAAGGGTTCTCAGGCATTGGCAGGGGTTGCCCAGGGCAGTGGTGGAGTCCCCATCCATGGAGGGATTGAAGAGTCGTGTAGACACAGTGCTGAGGGACAGGGTTTAGTCGGGGACTTGTCAGTGTGAGGTTAATAATTGGACTCGATGATCTTAAAGGTCTTTCCCCATCTGGGCAATTCTGTGATTCTGTGATTCAAGGGCACCAGCCCACAGGAGAATTGGCAGCTGCTCCAGGATACTATTCCAGAGCTGGAGCATCCCTCCTCTGAGCATCCCACCTCAGCTGTCGAGCCCAGGAGACTCAGAGGGACATGGATTTTTGCCCACGAGCTGCAGCCTGTGCTTGGGGCTGACAAGGAGCTCACTGCTTCCCACGCCCTCAGCCCCTGCCTGTCTGCAGCCAGGAGCAGAGCCCGACAATACAGGTGTGAATAAATGGATTTGTCCGTTTGTGAGAGGTGGACAGGGGGTGTCTTCCAGGGAGAAATGATTCAGCTGTCTGCGCCTGCTGAGGACAGGCAGGGCTGGCTGACAGGGACAGTGTGACCCTGCTGATATGGATGGCACGATGCTGACCAGAATGGATGTCCTGGGGTGATGCTGGCTGGCACAGATAGAGTGATACTGGCTGGATAGACAGGGTGACAGTGGCTGATATGTGCAGAACAATGTAGGCTGAGATGGACACTCCGGAGCAATGCTGGCTAGGATGGATAGGGTGATGCTGTCTGGCACAGACAAGGTGATGATGGCAGGGACAAGTGTCTCATGCCAGTGCTGGCTGGCAGAGACAGAGCAATACTGGCTGGGATGGACAGAGTGATGCTGTCCATCACTCTGCAGGGTGACACTGACTGATATGTACAGAACAGTGCAGACTGGTTTGGACACTTCAGAGCGATGCTGGCTGGGATGAACAGGGCGATGTTGGCTGAGATGGACAGGGAAGTGCTGGCTGGGATGGACAGGGAGATGCTGGCTGGCACAGACAAGGGTGGGGAGACCCAGGTCTATGGCTGGGGTTGACCTGTGGAGAGCTAGGTGCACGTTCCTTCCTCAGCATCTCCCTCACTGGTGGTGTCTGAGTGGGAGGAAGGGGGTTCAGGGACATTCTCCCTGGGCCCAGAGACCCCAAACAGCGTGGAAGGGCACAGAGCTTCATGGACCAGCCTGCAGCAGGTGTGGGGATGGGCAGTGATGTGGGACCCCCAGCCAGCCCCACAGTACTGTCTGAGCTCTCACAGATCCACTGCCCTGGCTGTGTCAGCCTGTTCAGATCTAATTGCTATCTCATGCTACACAGAAACAGGCCAGAATTTCTCCTCAGTCCCTTCCCGCTCCAGCTACACTGCTGCAGGTCTCTGGACCACCCCAGGCCTGGGAGCCAGCCAGGGCTCCCAGCACAGGACTGCAATGGCAAAAAGCAAGTAGTGCTGCCAACCCACACAGCCCCAGGCTCCTGGTCAGTGTTTGCCATTTGTGTCCCCCCCCAGGCATGGGGACTCCTTGGCAGCTGGGGAGTGGCTGTGACAGTGGCACAGACTCTGCCAGCTGGCCCAGCTGGTATCCCAGTGGTACGGTCCCCGTGCTGTCCCCAGCAGGATGGGGTGAGATGAGGGGAAGATGTGGGGTCTGTAGTCCTGCAGGGATGCTCTGGGCTGTGGACTCCGCTGGCTACCCCACTGTCGAGGGTAACATCGTCTCCCTCCCCGCTCTACCTCCTCCAGATGCGCAGTCCCATCCCAGGCCTGGTCAGGGTGATGGTGTTCCTCGCAGCAGCCCTGGCGTCGGCTTCCCTCGCCATCCCCGAGGGCTGGGGAGAGGAAGGTGAGACCCCCCGAGTCCCCTGCACAGCCCCCACATCCCAGGCATGGGGACCCTGGAGGCAGCCCATGTTCCCCAGGGAGGCACAGACCTACCAGAGTTGTGGCATACACAGAACACAGCCCCACAGCATCCTCTGACCAACCTCCCCCTCTTCATCTGCCCATCGCCCAGCCACAAGTGGGACCAGTCCTTCCCAGTCCCCCATGGTGGTACCTGCATGAAACAAGACCCCACAGCCAGCACCCAGCTCCCCATGGGGGTACAGCCCCAGGCTGCCCAACTCAACCCCCAGACCTGGCATGGGGTGGCACGAGGTGCTAACACCCATCTGGGGATGTCTGTGTCCCTCCAGGTGTGCAGTACGGACAGGTGGGGACAGATGTGACCCTCTTGTGCACCGGTGCCCATGCCAGGTAGGTTTTTTCCGTGCACACCGGGGGATTTATCCAATGGGATGGTCACCCCGCTGTCCCCATCCTCTAATGCCACCTGCCCGGTCTCTCCTCCCCAGCTCACCGGTGCAATGGAGACGGGCGGGTGCCATGGCACTGCCAGAGGGCTCAGCCATCCGGCAAGGAGCCCTGCTGCTGCCACATGCCAGCTTGGCCACTGCAGGAACCTACAGCTGCCACAGCGAGGATGGTGGCCTTCTGCACGCTGTGTCCCTGCGACTGGGGTGTGAGTAGTGTGTCCATGGGCTGGGGTTTGAGGGGTGTGTGGCACCACCAGTCATGCCCACAGCCCTGGCAGCAACTTGCCAAGAGGGGACTTTGTGGTGACACAGGAGTCCCTGCGTGCCAGCTGGGATGTGGGATGGGGGATTCCTTGCTGACCACTGCTCCCCCCTGGACCCCAGACCTGCCAGGGGTTCCCTTTGTGTCCTGCAGAGCATCTGACTACGAGAATTTCTCCTGTTCCTGGACCTCCAGTGTGGAGACCTTCCTCCCTACCAGATACATCACAACCTACAGGTGATGTCTCCATACAGGGCATGGTCTCGGGGGTTTACACGGTGAGCCCTGGGTCCCAGCCAAGGATATCCACCAAATCCTGTTGTCCATCTGGATCCACAGCCTGAGCTCATCTCCTGCCCCAGTGTCCATGCTGTACGCTGGAGCAGGTCATGTTTCAGGTTGAGCAGAGCACCAAGCATTTGCTTGCTCCAAGGGTGATCCCCAGTAGCACTGGGGGGCTGGCACAGGCAGAATCCCTCCCTGCCGACAGCTCTGCCAGCACAAGAGGGGCTATAGAAGAGAAGCAGGTCATCTGCTGAGTGTTTCGGCATGCTCTGGGATGAAAGGAGCCCTGACAGCATCACTGCTTCTCATTATCCCGGCAGGCCAAATTAACAGGCTGCTTTGAAGTCAGTTGGAGTTCATAAAGCACAACCCTGCTGAAAGCTGCAGGAGTAGGGGAGCTGGGGGCTCGGCAAGGAGGGGGCTGTGTGGAGCAGTGGGGGCTCGGTGGGGAGAGGGTGGTGGGAAGCAAGGAGATTTGAGGTCTTTAGGGTCCTTAGCAAAGCCAGCTACTAGGGAGCTGCTTTTATCAGCATCCCTGTGCCCTTACTGCTGCTGCGTGATGAAACCCTGGGTGGGTGGGGGGGGGTCCTCCCAGAAAGACCCTCCTGGGTACCATGCTGCCTCATTCTCCTGGGACTCCCGGCTCCTGCTGCCAGGCTGCTCACCGGCAGGGCTTGG